TTATTCTGTCTAACTGACAGAGGAGGAACTGAGGCTGGGTGGTAGATAGCTCACAGGCTCTTTATAACCCAGGAACACAGCACTTAAACTCTGGAAGATACTGCCAAGACGCTGCTCTTCTTTGTCACACCATAGCTGTCTTCTCAGTCAGGGATGACTGCAGAGAGCTGCACAGCCCTGTCCACCTGTCCCCAGACTTCTTGTTAAGTGAGATAAGCACATGAACTTATGTTTGAAGCGACATTAGGTCACATCCGTCTCCTATACTCACAGCCTCACACGTCCTCACTGATAATGGGCACTTGAAAATGGCCCTGTCTCAGTACCTGAGGGCCTCAGTCCTCTGTCAAGGGCTGATTCACTGTGGCTGTGGGTTGGGAACCATCTCAACATCAAAGAAAGAAAAAGTCATCTAAGGCTGGAAACAGCAATGAATGTTGCAGTTCCAAATGATGGGGCCAACAAGAGGATTCCATTGGTGACCTATTCTGTCAAGCTCAGCCTGCCTCCTGGTATCAGCTCATTTATCTCAAATTGGGAAAAAAAAACATCAAAAAGCAAAAAACCTTTGTCCAAATATCAGAACAAACTGTTCAAAGGTACAGGTTGTCTGACAACATCTCTAAACGGAAGCTGTGTTCAGTCCTTACTCATTCTCTTTTTATCATACAGTCAGGGGCTATGTTTCTCCAGTATCCCCAACTGTCTTTTGTTAGCATCTAGGATGACCTCACTGATAAGCTGAGTTTGACATCTAGACTTACAAAAGCATGGAAACAGATAAATGTCCAGCCCAGTGGGAGGTAGACGTGAACCAAGGGAGATTTTGAGAACCCTTACTCAATAGCAAGGGATGCAGTGAGCTGGCATGAGACTGCCTCCTACATGGAGCAGTTACAGGAAACATTTTCCCCTCTTCACAGTTGCCAGGAGTCTTCCATGGGCTGAGGGATGACCCTTTCTTCAAGCACTTCCAGTTGCCTTCTCCCTCCCCGATGCTCCTGTGACATCCTGAGTCATGGATATGTTACTCTCAGTCTCTGCCATTATTAAAGGTAGGCTTGCCACTCATCCTCAGTGGACAAACTAAAAACACATTTAATAGTGAAAAAAGCAGAGAAAGATTTATGCAGTATAGTCTCATTGAGAGGAGGAAGGAAGAATTCATCTTCCTGGGTCCTGACACAAGGTTTAGGTTTAAGTAGAGAGCAAGAGGTGTTCATGTCTAAGCAATTCTGGATGAGATGTGGCTCAGTCATCACTGTTTCAGCTTCACTATCCTGAAAGGTGGTCTGATGGTGGTGTCTCTTCCAGGGAGACAAGCTCTTCCTGTAGTACCACGCTTCAGCCTTTTCCTCCTGCCAGACAAGACTCCTGGGGAAATTTCAGTCCCTTGGAGCCATCCACTCAATGGTCTGATAGGCAAAGGGACAGTCTCCATCAAATATCTACTTCTGCCAGGATGTCGTATTCAGCGCAGGCTCAGTTGAGATCAGAGCTGCAATAGCACAGCAAGTGCTTAATTCCAGAGGACGGGAGGACGGACATGATCTGCAGAGAGTCCCCGGGCCTGTCCCTCAGCACAGTCTTCATTCTTCCTTCCACTCAAGGTTATGGAGTATATCTTGTGTACAAAACACAGGAGATACAAGCCTATGGCATTTCTTCCCAGAGAGACAAAGCCAATGGCTTGAGCCCTCCTCTAGAGTTTTATTTCTGAGTCTTTTTCAGTGTGTCTCACTCCCAGCATCACTTTCAAGACAAGTGGGTTAGATGTCACAGTCCCATTCCTCACAGAAGAATATGAAGACAGACACCAAGCAACTTTCTCATGGGGTATGAGCAATGGTAGAGTCAGCTTTCAAGTCCGCATCTTCTGACTCACCACCCTCCTGAGTCATCTGACGTCAGAGCCTGGCCTGGGCAGGCCAATCACTGAAGACATCCCCCAACTCTGCCACAGAATCTCTGGGATCCTTGTCTTCCTTGTGCCAGGAGCCCTTCCTGGTAGGAAAGGAAGACTCCCGCACCCTGTGAGAGCCTTCCAGCAGCCTTCAAAGTACTGAAGCCTGAGATCAAAGGAAATATTTTCTGGAACTCAGTATTTGTTCTTGATCTGCTACAAACCTTAATTAGCAACATAAACTTGGTAAAGGCATCAGTTTCCTAACTTGGTTTAACTGCTGTCATTTCTTTTAGTTATAAGTAACCCGGACCAAATATGGGAGAGAGATAAATGAAAACAATAGACTATGTAACACTTTTAGCGCCTGAGTATTTCTGGTAGTACTCACCCAAATTTGTATGCCTGCTGTGCTTTGATGAGTAATGAGTTATGGTGGGAAGTATTTTGGATTCGACTATTAACTTGTGTTCCAGAAAGGGAAGCTTCCCAGATTCCGTGATGCTTGAAATGAGATCAGGCTGACATTGTGATGTAGTCTTTAAATCAGGCATTTTAATAGTATTAAAGCATTCCATCTTTTACAGGGGTCTGTGACACAGGTGTTCCTTTTCTAAGTCAGAGAAGAAATCAAATGGGTTCCCTATGTTCGAACAACCTAGATTTTAATCTGTGAGTGAAGGGGCCAATCTCTGATGTGGTTTAGTGGCTCCTGGTGTCTTCTGACCTTGGGGAAACTGTCCAGCCTTCTCTTTGCTTGAGAACTGAAGAAAGTCATCCTGGAACTTACAGTCTTTGCAAAACCACACATCCAAAGCCAACGGTTTCTGGGGAGGGTGGTCTTATTCCTCAATCTTGCAAACAAGGGTGTGTGTGTGTATGTGTGTGTGTACATTTATCATATGTACTTATCAGTGTGCATGGGTACACATGTGTCTTAGTGATGTTTCTACTGCTGTGCTAAGATACCATGACCAAGGCAACATATAGAAGAAAGAGTTAATTGGGGCTTGCAATTTCAGAGGGTGAGCCCATGACCCTTACGGTGTGGCGCATCACAGGAGGAAGGCAGGCAAGGCACTGGAGCAGAAGCTGAGAGCTTATCTGTTGAGACAACAAACATGGGGTAGGGCGAGGGGTGGGGAAATAAATAAAGAAAGAAAGAAAGAAAGAAAGAAAGAAAGAAAGAAAGAGGTGGGGAACTTTGTGTCTGCCCATCTTCCCAGGCTCTGCATTCTCATCTGTCAGAAGCATTTACTTTAGGGAGAATTCCATGTGGAATTGAAGACCTTGCTGGCCAAGATTTCATTGGCTCTGACCAATGTCTTGTAAAACCCATGTTTGTAGTTGTAGACGTGGACAGTATTTTGGGTTGGTCATTTGAGTTCACCAGATTCCATAATGAATGGTTTCATGATTCTGGTAACAAATGACACGGTAAGACCATGAGCTAAAGTTGGTGCTCCCTACTTGTATTTTTCACTTTCATTTTCATCTTCTTAACGGGCTCCCCGCTGAAACTCTGTAAGGCTAACACAAATGGTAATGTGTTCTTTTTAAGCCAGGGCATGCTCTTAAAACAAGGCAATAAAGGGAGAGAAAACAGCGAGGGAAGGAGGAAGGAGCGTGAAGAGGGGGTGGAAGAGTCAGAGAGGAAAAAACCGTGTTCTACATCAGCAAAACTTCTAATGTCAATGTCTGCTCCCTGCCCCAAACAGAGGCAGTTCTGATACCTCAGGCTGCCCCTAGAACTGTCTCCACTGATTCATCCTGTAATAACTCCTCACCAAACCTTTATCTTTAAACAGTCTGCACTGCACAGGCCCCTGACCTGGCCAGACTTTTCTGAAATCTATGGAACACTGCCCCTTGCCATTTCCACCACTGTCATCATCTCTTTGGTTTGGAAACTTCTAAGCTTCTTACTGGAATTTGCTGAGTGAGGTTAAAACCCCAAAAAGCAAAATGGGATCTTGGCATAAATAATCAGTTTTGTTTTAGTGTCACATTCAGAATAAGTTACAATGAAATGGATGGCTTGGTAATGGGGCTCCTAATGATTTCTCTGAAATCTTAATTGAAATGATTACTCTAGAGGAGCTTTGCCAGACGAATAGCATGTAATTTGTAATAGAAACCATTTCAGGGTGGGTTGAAACTTGAGAACAAACATGGTGGGAGCAGGGACTGTGCTGTAGCTTGCAATGAACTTGGCTCTCTTTTTTCTCCCCTTCCCTCCCTCGCTCTTTTCTATTTCCATCCCTTTCTTCCTTCCCATGTCTACTGGTTACAGTAGTCACAGTGAGTGGATGTTTGCTGGCTATTGACACTGGACAGAGACTAACGATTTTTTCCCCTTTGTTTTATTGTATACATTTGACACAATAATAAGAAAAGATAATTTGTCAGGGTCATAGTTTACCATAGTGACTCAAGGTGATCCCCATTCTTTATGAAGGCAGGAATGATCCTTATGATACAGGGGCCTGCATCAAATAGAGATAAAAATAACCTGTCATTCCTTGAGGTCAAACATGTCTTAGAACTATGGAATCCCCCTCAGTTATACAGACCCATCTGCTGAGAGGGATCGTCTCCAAATTTACATAGTTTGCTTATTTGGGTAAATCTTTGCTTCATTTCCATCAAAAAGTGTCTCCTTTCCAAATCTGGGGGAAAAAAGTAAAACAAAAAAACAAAAAAGAGAAAAGAGAAAGCAAAGACTGGTGAAGAAGCCGAGAAGAAGGATCAGTTTATTGCAATGTTAGTGGTGTTAACATTGAGTGGTTGTTCTCCATTGTAAAGAGCCATCCAGGAGAAGGGAACAGAATAGGCGAATGGCACCTAATTTAAGAGCATTTTCCTTGGAGACTCTTTCACAAAGCCTTTTCCTGGAACCTTCAAACCACTCTCACAAACTGTTTTTTACCATGTTCCAGTCCAGCAGGGGTGAGACGAGGTGGGAGTACAAGATGATTGGGAAAGTCTGTGATACACGGTTAGTGGTTGGGTGAGTGAGACAGTTCCCAAATCGAAATCTGACCAAAGAGACAGTCAGGAGACAGAAGACTAGACCCAGAGCGGTGATTCTGAGATGATTCACTCGGTCGCCACGTACTTCCCACCTTTCCCAGGGGCTGTGGATCTAGTTTGAGGCTTTTGACACTGTAATTAGTAGGCCCTGCTCTTTGGGGGGAGTGTCTTGTCCTACCTATTCCAAATAAGCAGCATGTTCAACCACACTCCAAGCAAATGGTTCTGTTTTGGATTTTCCGGGGAAAAGAGGAATGCACTCTAGGCAGATTGCTTTCCTCTCCTGCGGCACCAGGGTGAGCACCAGGGTGAGCTTCCTAGACAGCTGATTCTCCTTTGAGGTTTGGCAGCTCCAGGCCACCAGCAATGGGGATCAATGCTCCTTCCTTCCTCCTTGAGTCTGAGGCCCTGCGTTCCTCTTCTGCCTTTAACCCATCCACTGGCCCATGAGTGCTGCAGTGTCCTGGCATCTCAAGGGACAAGGAAGCAACAGGACTCGTGAGTGACTCTGGATTCTGGTGAGTTGTTCTGGGCTTTCTCATTCCTGTCCCCCACCCCCCAGCAAGAATTACTGGAGTCCTGCAATCCCTCAGTGGTCACAGCTCTGCTGTCCTAGGGAATCCTGACACTCTTCCTCTCCAGCCATCTGTCTGGGGTCTTTGTTTCTTGGGGAGTAATCTCTTAACTGTCCCCAGTCTACCTGAAGTCCCTTCTGTCTACGCTCCCATTTTCCGTTTGACCAAATTTCCCCCACGGGGCTGGGTAAGTGCATTATAGCAACAATCCATGGTCACATCCTGTCTAACATGCTCCTTGTTTTGGCACTGTATGTGCTCTGTTGAGTCTTTTATGCTTTGTGAGTATTCTTGTATCCCATTACCCCCACTATGTGTGAGACCCTTCACCCTCACTAGGTGTGAGAAACTTCACCCTCACTATGTGTGAGAACCTTAACCCCACTATGTGTGAGAACCTTCACTCCCACTATGTGTGAGACTTTCACTCCCCACTATGTGTGAGAACCTTCTCTCCCCACTATGTTTGAGAACCTTCACCCCCACTATGTGTGAGAACCTCAACCCCCACTATATGTGAGACCTTTCACCCCCATGATGTGTGAGACCTTCATCACCACTATGTATGAGACTCTTCACCCCCACTATGAGTCATACCCTTCACCCCCAGTATGTGTTACACTGCTCACTCCCCATTATGTGTGAGACCCTTCACTTCTACTATGTGTGAGACCCTTCTCCCCTACTCTGTATGAGATTAGTACCATTTAGTGAATGTGGTGGTGATATGTGTATGTGTGAATGTGTGTGTGTGTGTGTGTGTGTGTGTGTGTGTGTGTGTGTGCAAGTGTGTTATGGTGGTCATGAGAAAGCAGAGGACAACTTGCAGGAATTATCCCCTGCCAACCTGCTGCAGGTTTGGGGGATCAAACTCAGATTGTCAGGTATGGTGACAAACGTCTTTGCTTGTGTGTTATCTGGATGACCCCAACACAACTGTTTCTCATGAGAGTTGCTGCCTTCCTTATTTTTAGGACAGGCAGCTCTCACACAAGTCTTTGCTACTTTCTAACAGCTGCCTAACTCCTTACCCACAGGTTTTAAAATCTCATTTCTTCTCCTTGCTGGTAGCAACTGTCTCCTGTTCCTTGTATCCTTATCTTTCTGTGGCCTCATCCTGCATCATTAATCTTGCCAGGTAGTTCGCTTTCACTGACTTCAACAGAGGCTATGATGTGTCTGTGATTCATCTTGCCTGAGTGTCATGTCTATTCTGTGATTGCATTGCTAGTAATTATTCTATTATATGGGATTGTATGGGGGCTGAGCCACTCCCCAAAGCTACTTCTCTAATCCCCAACATTGATGATGTGGGAAGAATCTGATCATCTACCACTCATCAGGAGACTAGGCCCTAGGTTTCAATGCCTTTGATCACATGGGGTGAGTTGCAAAGGGTGTGTGCTTGGTGGAGGAGGTGAGATGGCATTTTCCATAGGCATTTTTACTGTCTGAGTTGTGTGTTGAGTTTGGATGAGAAATGGCAGAGGCCCTGTGAGTTGTGGGAAAACTCAGCACATGATTGCATTCCTATGATTTTCTCCAATTTCTCCTGAATTTTCTCTAGAATATTTAGAAACGCCAGTGTGCTGCAACTCTGCAGAAGCCCGCAAGGACAAGGGACTCTCCTATCTGGAGAGGCTGTTACAAGGGATATTGTTCTAGTTTGGGTCAGACTTCTAAGACAGGATTCCTCTCGGAGAGAGTGCCATTGGGAGAGGGAATGCGGAGCACCAGCTAAGAAGTTCTGAGTGACTGTGGTACAGAGATAAGCCTAGACATATTGGCTAAGGACTTCTCTGTCTCTGCTGTGCCTGCTGCTTCCTATTGCTCTCTGGGTGGAGTGGCTCTCCTGCAGAATGGAATAGGCAGCAAGAGAAATTCTTGTAGGCGGCAGAACATGAGAGCATGGCCATGTCCTCAGACCATTCTGTTTCAGATTTATGAGTTCTCAGAAGCCAGAGACAGGCTTGCCTAAGCTACATACCTAAATGCTTTCTAGGAAATACCTTGTTAGGATGCCGGATTTTCCCTCTGGCACTGAGTCTTATGGGACACCCATTGCACCCATCTGCCATTTCATCACCAACAAAAGTCCTCGGGTGGCATGTTACCATGCACAAAGGAGTTCCTAGAGGCTGCTACTTACTGTCTGTCATTTGGAACATTCATTCACTCTTACTAAAGGAAATTAAGAATAGAGCATAATTGTGTGATATGGGGAGCTTGGAAAACCTGTCTGTTCTGTTCAGCCACTGTAAGACTGTGTGACTAGGAAACTCATCTCTTTTGCACTCTCAGAGCTCTTTTGTATTTTTTCTGTTTTCCCTCCCTCCCTGTTTTTCCTTTATAACAGATTGATAGGGAATCACTCTGCCAATGACCTATAGCCACAGTCTAAATACCTTCCTCTTTTTTTGTTCATTTTTTAAGTTAATTTTTTACATCCCAATACCAGTTCCCCTTCCTTCCTTTCCTCCCAAACCCTCCACTCTCCCCTCCTCCCATCTACTCCATGGAGAGGGTAAGGCCTCCCCTAGGAAGTCTACTAAGTCTGTCCCATCATCTAGTTGAGGCAGGTCGAAGGAACCTCTCCACCCCACACCCCTGTGTCTAGGCTGGGGAAGGTATCTCTCCCTATAGAATGGGCTCCACTAAATCAGTTTGTGCATGAGTGTTAGATCTTGGACCCACTGCCAGTGGTCTCATATATTGTTCCAGTCACACACCATTGTCACCTATATTAAGAGAGTCTAGTTCTGTCTTATGCAGGTTTCCCATTTGTCAGACCTGAGTCAGTGATCTCTAACTAGCTCAGGTCAGCTGATTCTGTGGATTTCCCCATCATGGTCTTGACTCCTTTGTTTATATTATCACTCCTCCCTCACTTTGATTGTACTCCAGGAGCTTGGTCCAAGGTTAGTAGTGGATTTCTGCATCTGCTTCCATCTGTTTCTGGAAGAGGGTTCTGGCTTCTCTGGGGTTATGGATTGTAGGCTTGGTATCTTTTGCTTTATGTCTGAAATACCTTCCTCTTATTTTTCTCTTTTTGAAGAAAAAGAAAAAAAAACAGAGCAAGTACTTTGGATGATTCAAGGGAGCACAGTCATTTAAAATGCCCACCAGACTTCGTGGTTTTCAGGTCTTTAAGGAGATATGCAAAGTAACACACATGGCTCCAGAAATCACCCAGAGTGGTTCACTTGGGGAGAACTAAAACCAATGCCCTCTATTAAAAATGACTGGGGTTGAATAGAGACAAGGGGAAACAGGGAGAGAGAATTTCCCAGGACCTTGTGTTAGTGAAGTGTCTCTTCACAGGGGTTCCTCAATTCCATTGACTTTTTCTGACATTGTTGAGACTGTTCTGGGGCTGCCAGAACAAATCCCACAAGCTGGGTGGCTGGAATAACAGGACTGTACGTTCTCACAGTTGCAGAGGCTAGGACACTGGGTGAAGACACGGGAAGGGATGGTTCTGGAGGCTCGAAGGCAGGGTTATGTCTGCACTTCCCCCCCAACACACCACTGGGCTGTCAGCAATCCTTGTGTTAGAGACCTGACGTTCCAGTCTTTGCCTCTGTTGTTCCATGGCATATCGCTCTGCTTCTCCAAATGACCTCTGCTCAGAAGGACAGCAGTCACATGGGACCAGGACTCTCCACGACCTCCTTTTAACTTGATTCCATCTGCTAAGACCCTCTTTCCAAACAGCACCACACTCACAGGACGGGGCAGTTGGGGTGTTCGTGCTGTTTGGAATGCTATCCAGACCACAGCTCTGGTGAACAGAAATGGTCCCTTGGCCCCGGAGAATTGGGAAGTTTTCTGTGAGAACAATGCCTCCAATGGCAGGGAAGGCCAGCCAACAGCAAGCTCTGTGGCATCCTCAATCGCACATAGCATGAGCTTTGTGTGGCATTTCTATCCTGGTTTCCGTTTTTCTTGTCCTGGCCCTTGGGCGTTCAACTCCTAGTCTAAGAATTTATTTTTTAGTTTAACGAATAATTTATATGTTTTGAAAATGACTAATAAAAAACCCCAATTTGGACTGAATCAGAGCATGAGTTTTTTGTCTCGGGCATGCTATTTTTCTTCACATGCATCTGATTCAGCTACAAGGAAAGTGCCTACTTGGCCTTTTTTTTTTTTTTTTTTTTTTTTTTTTTTTTTTTCCCATCACAGCAACCCTTTCCACACGGAGGTTGTGTCCTCACTCAGCTGCAGCTGGCAACATGGGACAGACACATTTGAAATGAAACCCCCTCCACTCCTAAACCTTACTTTTAAGTATCTGTGAATTGTCTACGTCTTATTGTTTTCTAGTGTCAGCAGAGGTGGGGTGGGGTGACAGTGGGGTGGGGGTAGCCTGAGAGCAGGCTGTTTTCACCAGGGCAGAGCCACAAATCTGACATTTACAAGACCCTTGTGTTATCTCGGTCCTGAAGTCTTGCACGCATTCTTGGGCTGGCTTGGGTTTCCTGCTGGCATCCACACTGACCTTAGCTGGGGCCAAATCTGCACACTTGAGTCAGCTACTTTTTAGCTACTGAGGCCAGAAAATGATTTTTTTTTTCAGGAGTTCCTTGTGAAATCGTTTTGCTAAGTCTGAGGCACGTTGGCATGTCATTTTTCAGAAACAGTTCCTTTTGGGCAGTTAGTAAGATGACTCATGTTTACCCAAATTAGGGGTTTTGACTTTGTTGTGGAGGGTTTTTTAAACTACAGTTCCCCCTAGCGGCATCTGTGGTACTCATGGTTGCTCTGGATGATCGATTTTTCATGGTTTGGCTACATTGGGTCCAAAGACTTTGCCTCTTGCTTTAGTTTCATTTACCCACAAGTATAGCTCAGCAGTGGACTTGCTCAGGATTGAAGTGTGTGGATGTAAAACTCCATGCACAAACCCTGAAATCTATCTTCCTCCTCAGAGGAGAAAGGAA